GGAGCAATTACTGCGAAATACAAGGGAAATACAGTCAGAATCTACCTGGATCTCAGTGCTATCCTTTCAAGGAAACGCGCGTCTACCAGAAGAACATTCGATTTCAATTGCTCTACCTGGCCCGTTTTAAAGTGACTTTTAATGAAGAAACTTTCATGTTCAACACACCGGAGGAGGCGAAACAGTTCTACGACCAACGTATCAATGTTTAGGATTCCTGGATTATATATTTAATTTTTACGCTTAAAGACTCCCTTTTGAGTTGTTATTTTCCTCTTTATTTATTATTTATTTTTTCTTGAGACGGATCATTTGAAAAAGGTATACTTTACTAAAAAGGTACTTTCCAACCAGCTCTTTTATTTATCTGATTTCTTTATTATTATTATTATTTGTGTGGCTTCGCAAATAGTTTATTGTTCTAAACTTAACTCAAAAAGCTGATGGTTCTGTGAAAGACTGATACTAACTCCACTGAGTTAAGACATTATTTACAAAGCGTTTTAACACACTGAGAATGTTTCATAAGGTTAAAGGTTGGGTAGCTCCTCCTCCTCCTAGGTGGGAATGGTTTTGCGTCAGTTGAGGGATTACTGGGGGTTTGATAATGGGGGCCTGCAATTTGTCTCTGTTCTTGAGAAAGTTCAGTTTCTTCAGGGTTGGGAGGGTATCTGCCAAGGGCTTTTTTTTTCTTCTTTTTTTTGCCATTCCCTTTCCTTGTTTGTCATGCATTGGAGACGTGGTCGTCATATTCATCACTCTTTTATAACCTAACGATTGATTAATGTGTGATTCAAATAGTAGGCAAGGCAAGGCAAGGTAAGTTTATTTATATAGCACATTTCATACACAATGGCAATTCAAAGTGCTTTACATAGAAGAAATTAAAATAATCCAAAAAAGAAATCAGAATAATTAAAACAGTTTAGAATAAAAAATAAGAAATAATGAAAAATAAAAATTATGATAAAAATAAAATACAGTAAATTAAAACCATTTAGAATAAAATGAAGTGCAGTAACAGTCGGACGAACAGTGGCACAGTGCTCATTCAGTAAATGCACAGCTAAACAGATGTGTTTTGAGTCTGGATTTGAATGTGACTACTGTAGGAGCACACCTGATCTCTTCTGGAAGCTGGTTCCAGCTGCGGCTGGCATAATGGCTAAAAGCAGACTCTCCATGCTTAGAGTGAACCCTTGGTATTTCTAGCTGATGTGATCCTAATGATCTGAGTGATCTGTTGGGTTTATATTCAGTTAGCATATCTGCAATATATTGAGGTCCTAACCCATTAAATGATTTATATACCAGTAATAATACTTTAAAATCAATCCTAAATGTAACTGGCAGCCAGGGTAAAGACCTGAGGACTGGTGTGATGTGTTCATATTTTCTGGTCCTGCTCAGAGTCCTGGCAGCAGCGTTCTGTATGAGCTGCAACTGTCTTATGGTCTTTTTGGGAAGGCCAGTGAGGAGGCCATTACAATAATCCACCCTGCTGGTGATGAAAGCATGCACAAGTTTCTCTAAGTCTTGACTGGAAACAAAGCATCTAATTCTTGAAATATTTTTCAGATGATAGTATGCTGATTTAGTTATTGTTTTGACATGACTATTGAAACTAAGGTCTGACTCTAGAGACACACCAAGATTCCTGACTTGATTTTTAGTTGTTAGACCCCTAGTGTCGAGGTATGCATTCACCTTGAGAACTTCATCTTTGTTTCCAAATGCAATAACTTCAGTTTTGTCTTTGTTTAACTGCAGAAAGTTTTGACACATCCAACCGTTTACTTCATCAATGCATTGGCAAAGGGAGTCAATGGGGCTGTAGTCGTTAGGCGATAGGGCTAAGTAGAGCTGTGTGTCGTCTGCATAGCTGTGGTAAGCGATTTGGTTCTTTCTCATTATTTGGCTCATTGGGAGCATATACAGGTTGAATAGGAGTGGCGCAAGAATCGAGCCCTGAAGGACTCCGCAAGTCATGGATGTCCACTCAGACTTATGTTCTCCCATACTCACAAAATAACCTCTCCCTTCTAAGTATGACCTGAACCATTTTAGGACTATCCCAGAAAGCCCCACCCAGTTTTCCAGCCTGTCAAGAAGTATGTCGTGATCAACAGTGTCAAATGCAGCACTGAGGTCGAGTAGTACCAACACGGATAATTTGCCTGTATCAGTATTTAAGCGAATATCGTTTATTATCTTTATGAGCGCTGTCTCTGTGCTGTGATGCGATCGGAAACCAGATTGAAAATATCCATTTAAGCTTAAAAATTTGTTCAGCTGATTGAAGACGTGGACCACATCCGAAATACTTTTCTCAAACTGTGTGAAGAACTCCGTGCAATAAACATTTTCAAAACAACATGGTTGTCTGCATATTTTTTTTCTATCTAGAGCATGAGATAAATGTATTGTCATTAAGCTGAGCAATTTATTCGTGTTTAAAAACTATACAGCAACATTTTGTGATGCTATAAGGTCCGTTACAGCACAGCAGTTTGAGCTCCGTTTTAGGTCCGTTTCACGACAGCGCCAAGTGAACGTTGGGTCTCGCTTGACTGTCGTCTTGCAGATACGGTCCACATCCGTACTACGGACTTCAGCCAGAAGCGCCCAAAAAAAAAAAAAAAAAAAAGATATCATCATCAAACCAAGCTCAACGCAGATTTAACTGACCTGCTAGGCTACCACACGTAAGTTTTTATGTGTTTATTCTATGTGTTTATTATGTACATCTATTTGTATGTGTTTATTCTAATTTACTGTCTATTACTTAAAAGTGCAAGTGAAATGCTGTTTGCTTTATAGATAGCAGTTACAGGCTTGTTATAGTATTTGCGAATCATAAAGTGTGTTAAAGACGCATCTGCTATAGCCCTACTGCGCTATACAAATAGGGTGTAGCACAGAATAGACCCGATTAGGATAACCAAACCAACTTTTTAATGGCATATATTTGCGTTAATGTGCTGAATTTTAAAAGGTAATTAGTTAGGATGCCCAGACGTCCCCGCGGTTTATGGGACAGTCAGTCCCCATTTTTGGTTGCCTCCGGGAAAATTCAGAAAAACTGTTACCTGTCCCTGTCCCTGTTTTTTTTGTTTTTTTTTTGGAAGATGTATTTTAACATCTTAAAATGTTGGGGGGGGGGAATGGGAGACGGGGAGGGGGGGAATGGGAGACGTGTCCCCCTCAATATGGAAAAATGCGGCATGTGTCCCACCCAAAAAAATCCATACCTAACCTACCACAGGAACAAAAACTGTACATTTGGAACTTTTATTTTTAAAGCGCGACACAGAAGATATACAGTTTTGCCAGCAAGTCAAACCCAGAGTCATAGTTAGGTTAAACCATTAAACCTTCCCATTTCATGTTTGAATAATCACCATTCGCTTCATATATTTCACTCATCACCGGAGCATCTGATTGGTAGAGAGAAGTTAACGTTACACTAGAAACGCACCAGCTTTAAACTGGAACCTACATGATTTATCTAATCTGACAATGTTATTTTTGTTATTAGCTCCATGTTACTTATAATATCACATACCTTTGTTTGCAGTTTGAATAAATAATAAACACAGCAGTTTGAACTCTTCTTCACTTTATTATTATACCACACATCAGATCTCCAAAATCCCGCGACCATACCAAGTGCGCATGACCCATCTACGGCAAGCCTCGAGGGGAAAAATACATTGCATACACACATACAACGAGTGCTAGTACATCATTACCGGTGTTAACAGACTTTGTTGGATTATGTCATTTACAACCCAAAAAAGTCTGTTACAATAATAATAATAAAAAAGATTTTGAGGACAGTTACACTGTATTGAGAAAGTTGAGAAATAATAATATTTTAAACAATAATTGTCATTATTGAACCCGTGCTCTTATTTTGTTTCTGATTTCTGAGCTTTGTCATTATTTTAGCAAATAATTTATTTTTATATATTTTGACACGGTTTGTTTTAAGAAGTTTCAAAGAGTTAGTAAAAGAGTTAAGTAAAAGTTAAAACTTTTTTATTTAAGTAGGCATCTATTTTTTAATGAAGTATTTATTTTGTATTAACACTGTATTCATTTATAATGTATCATTATTGCATGACATTTGTGTCAATAATCGTCAAGCACAGGTGACTTCACGTAGTGGGAGGGGGCCCCAAAACAGACCGCCACTGCATGTACCACATCACCAAACTATGTTACTATTATGGTGGTGGGATAGACGTTGATTCATAGTGGCCAGTATGTCCCCCCCAATGTCAAAGACGTTCCTACGCCCTTGTGTCCAGAACAACATAGCCTACTAAAAGTCCTAAGAAATCCTAGTTGAGCAAATATGTTAATTTGTCATCAATCCGAAATGTGTGCCAGCCAGTAACAACACACCCCATATTTGCATATTACAATTAATTTTCAAAGACACTTGTAATAAAAAAAAATTAAAATAAACAAATAAAATACTTTTCATGGGTACTTTCATAAAGTTAATTTTGATAGGAGTAAAGGAAAAAAAATGTGTATTGTCGCCTGGCCTTGTTGGCACACATTGGATTGATGATAAATTAACATATTTCCTGAACTAGGATTTCTTAGGAATTTTAGTATGTTGTGCTGGATGTTAGTCTGTCGTAAAATGCTACTTTGCCTGGACTAAAAATAAATTAATTGTGATTATGATTTTTTTTTATTCATGGCCAAAGTATGTTACTGAAATCAAACATACATTAAAGCCTTTTGAGCCTTTTAGCCTACATAATTTAGAAATACATCTGAATGTACATGCCTCCAACCTTACACTGAACAAAGACCATTACCACTATTTTTCTCATTTAGCCTTCCCCAATTACAATTAAACCTTACAATTACAATTTTGTTATTGGTATTTTACTTTCATTTTCTTGTAAACAAACGTGAGTCTCCTGAGTCAGCCGTAGATAGATAGATAGATAGACAGACAGACAAATAAATGTTATACTTGTTACCAAATCTTTATTTTTGATAAACCAGACAACTTTTCCAGTCACATAATAAATAAAATTAAGCAAGACAACAACTTACAACATACTTTCCATTTCTTTTTCCAGATGCTGAAAACATGATGCAAACTGTTGAGACGAAGGTATAATACTCAGATTTTCATTTCAATTTCAAACTCCATACTTTATATATATATATATATATATATATATATATATATATATATATATTTATTTTTTTTTTATTTTTTTTTTATTCAATTTCCATTCGAGATCGTTAGGCTACCTAAATGTAAAAAATGAATAGACGCAAGACACCTGTTTCCAGTTCAGCATTGAGGAGAAGAGCCAGGGTAGACCTTAATAGAAGGTTAATTGATATCGGCCAGGAAACACTTGCAGCCACACTTCCTCCCAGAGATATTGGGTCTCCAACAGATGATGTTGCAGAACTTGAAAATGAAATCATGGAAGAAAATCTTGGATTAGATCCAATGGCAGCTGTTGTGTCTGACCCAGAGGATAGATCTTATTATCAAGATGATAGTGATGTAGAAGAAGTATCTGACTGGGAGGAACCAGAAAAACTCATAAATCGCCTTTCCAACTGGGCATTAACATATTGCATTTCCCATATCGCACTTTCGGCTCTCTTGGCAATATTAAAGATCCACCACTGTGACTTGCCAAAAGATGCACGAACTCTTCTTAAAACAAGAAGAGATTATTCTGTTAGGGAGCTCTGCGGTGGCCTTTACCACTACATTGGCATTATTGAGGCGTTAAAACATACCCTTTCCCAGTGGAAAGACAAGCTTGTCGATGGATGTTGTTTATATCTTCAAATGTCAGTGGATGGCCTGCCACTTTTTAAAAGTTCAGGTCTTCAGTTGTGGCCCATTTTAGGTAGATTGGTTGGAGTACCCATGAAAGAACCTGTAGTCATTGGGATGTACTCAGGTATAAAGAAACCTGATTCATCTAAAATGTATCTCACAGATTTGGCAAATGAACTCTCACAATTACAGGAGGGGTTTACATTTGAGGGGAAAAGGCTCACTTTAAAAGTTCATTCAATGATCTGTGACGCACCGGCAAAATCCTTTGTGAAAGTCACAAAGGCTTTTAACGGTTACTATGGCTGTGACAAGTGTATTCAGAGTGGGGTGTACCTCAACCACCGCATGACATACCCCCTCATGAATAGCCAAACACGGTCTGATGAGGCATTTGCCAGGCAGGAGGATGAGGAACATCACCATGGTCCTCATGCCTTCACAAATGTACATTTTGGTTTGGTGTCCCAAGTCCCACTGGACTACATGCACCTGGTGTGCTTGGGGTGGTAAGGCGCCTTATCTTTCTGTGGATGAAAGGTCCTCTGACTGTCCGTGTACCAGGGAGAGACGTGGAGAGAATATCCAGAAATCTTCTAAGCTTAAGACCCCACATTCCTTCGGAATTTGCTAGAAGGCCAAGAGCACTGAACGAAGTGGATAGATGGAAGGCGACGGAGTTCCGTCAGTTTCTCTTATACACAGGGCCGGTGGTGTTGCGCGAGGTGTTAAGACCTGATCTATATGCAAACTTCCTGCTGCTGTCGACAGCCATGGCAATGCTGGTCTCCCCTTTCTTTGCCAGAAAGTACAACGAATATGCCAACAGCCTCCTTCATGCTTTTGTGGAACATTTTGCCCGCCTGTATGGAAATGATCAGTTAGTGTACAATGTGCATGGGTTGACCCATCTTGCACAGGATGCAAAACATTTTGGCAATCTGGATGTTATATCATCCTTTCCATATGAAAATTATTTGCAAAAACTCAAGGGTTTTGTACGCAAACCCTCAAATCCCCTGGCCCAAATAATCAGACGCCTGTCCGAGGGATCAAATGGTGGTGTTACAAGTGACCAGCCCATCAAATTGTGCAAAGAACATGCCCGAGGCCCTATACCAGTACCAAACTTGATCTGTCACCAGTATGATGAACTGATATCAGAGAGGTTCACCATGACCACAACATGTCGAAACAACACATTTCTGATGGGCAAAAATGTGTGTCAAATTATTAATATAATTGACTGTCACAGTGATATCACAATTGCCTACAGACAGTACGGGATGGTTGAAACATTTTTTACCTATCCTTTTAATTCAGACATTTTAAACATTGTGATACCAGCTGACCTAGGCCATGAGATAAAATTCTCCAAACTGTCATCTTTCACACAAAAATGCATAGCTGTCCCTTTCAATGAGGCAATGGTGGTCATACCATTGTTTCATATGAAGGACTAGAGACTTTTTCTTTGGAAATCATAGTTCAGTTCAGTTCAGTTATGTATTTTTTTAATCATCTTTTTTTTTTTACACAATGATTTCTAAAAGACATTTTGTGGAGTAATTTTCCTCGACGAGGACATTACAGAAGTTGTGCCAAGGTCATGGGTTAAAGGTGATGAATGTTTTTGGCCAACATTCATTTCTGAGGAAAAAACCCAAAAGGCCATAAAGAGGCATGAAATGCCAGGCCCTGGCTGGAAAATCTTCAAAATAAGAACACTCTTTGAAAAAGGTAAATAAACAAACAAACAGGGTAATTCTATGTCTTTACATGTTAGAACAACAGTTATGCCTTACTTAATTTATCCTTAATTATTTCCATATCTGTCTTTCTTAATTTTTATTTTTTTTCATAATAGTAGATGACTTCAGTAAGGCAAGGCAAAAGCTGAAGGACTACAACAGAAATGGAACGACAGTCCTCCAGTCAGAGGATGAGAGCTCAATGGCAAAAAGGAGAAGAAAAGTGACACAGTATGTACATTATAGATAATTGTTGTATTACTGCAAAAGCTATGGCTGGGGATGGGTTTGTACAAAAAAAAGCCTTTGTTCATGCCTGCCCAGTAAATGACGCTATTGCCTTGTCATTACAATTTGACCTCTGTCTTCACCAGTTACCCAGGATTTGAAAACGGCAGTACTGACTCTGAAACTGAGAAGACTCCAAAAAGAAGACCAGATTCTCGGCCTCGGCCTCGGCCTCGGCCTCAACCACTCGCTATTAGCGCTACCCTTCCTAGTCTCCCTCCAGCCCCCCTCTGTAAGTTTTGATTGCCAACTGCAACAATGTACAGTCCTGTGATTTGTACCACTGCAATATGTTGATTCACGGTTTTCATTTATCAAAAGTGGACATCGCAGTGGACATGGGTCAGGAGTCTCTGGACAACACAGGACAGGAAACCTTTACAGACATAAGCTGGAATGTGAGGAGGGAGTCAGACCCCTTCAATGGTAGGAATCGTGCTCTGTAGCAAAATTACAATACAAATGAAAGTACAAAGGTGATGTTCTGTCCTGTTAATTTCTGTCCTTGTCTGACAATCTGCCTCTCTTGTTATCATTTTCCCTCAATGTTCATCTAGTAATCAATAGCTCAGCGCACCAGTCAACACCACCACCACCTCAACACTCAGCGCACCAGTCAACACCACCACCACCTCAACACTTGAGTCCAGTGTTTGACATTAATATGGGCTTCCCCTATTCACATGGTGACTTTTTCATACAAATTTAGTACATGTGTACAATAAATATCCATACTTTTTTTTCTTGTTTTCTGATTTTAACATTTACATACCTTTCCTCAATTAGCCAGCGGTGGTGGAGAGCCTGGAGGTCACCTCCTCTTCAAGCCAACTTTCAGAGTTGGCCATGAAACAGGGCCAATTCCTTGCACACGTAAGAAATAAAAAAAGGAATGTTAACAATGTTTACAACATCTATATATATATATATATATATATATATATATATATATATATATATAGTAGCTAATAAGAATCTACAATGTAAATAGCCATGAAAATAAAGGAAACGCATTGAAGGTGTGTCCAAACTTTTGGTCTGTACTGTATATATATAAGTATAGTACAGCTGTGGGTTGATTTATTGACCATCATTGTGTGTATTATTTCCTTAAAGGGATAGTTCACCCAAAAATGAAAATTCTATCATTGTTAGCTCACCCTCATGTTGTTCCAAACCTCTATGTGTTTATTTGTTCTGCTGAACACAGAGGAAGATATTTGGAAGAATGTTTTAATCAAACAGATCTCATTCCCCATTGACTACCATAGTAGGAAAAAATACATATGGTAGTCAATAGGGATTGAGATCTGTTTGATTAAAACATTCTTCCAAATATCTTCCTCTGTGTTCAGCAGAACAAATAAACACATAGAGGTTTGGAACAACATGAGGGTGAGTAAACGATAATAGAATTTTCATTTTTGGGTGAACTAACCCTTTCATGTTTAAATAACCTGAGTCTTTTCTCCAGATTAACACATTTTTTTCAACTTTCACAATGTTTCAGCGGCTCAGCTACATGGCCTATTACTTTTGGAAAACCTAAAGCAGCAGGTTGCCCAACTCGCCACCACCGTGAACCTGCTAATGGCCAAGGTCAATAACGGCCTCCAACCAGCAGCCTTTGAGTGGTCCGGGGAATTTCATTTCCCCCTGGAATCAGATGCAGAGCTGGACCGCTTTGAGACCTGGCTGGCGGACCCTGCCAACGATAGGCAGAAACATGCCCTTGTAAGCATATTCCCCCAATATGCTCTCATTGTATTCTCAAGACACTTGTATCATCTTGTACTAAATCTAATTAATCTAAAGTAGTATTTAGTGCTACAATAGACTAAGCTCTTTATGATGATGTAATTTGAATGTTATGGATAAAACCATCATCCAATTACCCACATGTCTTAATTCTAAAGAAAAAAAAACTTTCAAAAAAGTGGCTTACCTGTTTAAAAGGTGATCCAACTATCTTCATGCCCCTAGGTGAATACCCTGTCTGCTGTCGGGGGTGTAGATTTGAAGAGGGTGACATGGAATATTCTTTCATACATGTTTTCCTGCCCCCTGTCTCGCACGATTAATTGGAAGGGTGTGAACAAGAAGAGGGCCTTCCACAGGATGGCATCACGGACCCTCCTCAGCCGTAAGTATAGGCTATTGTTTCAAATGTCCTAAGTGAATTTATATTTATTCACTCAGAAGTCTTACAGATTACTCAAATATGTAAAATATAGCAAGGAGACATTTTAATTGTTTATTAATAAAGTCAAGATGAAGTTGACGATGCTGATGCTGACTCGCGATCTTTGCAGTAGTGAATGCAGCAGAGAGAAATGCACATTTAATTTCATAAGCAGAAAGCACTCTGTTTTCTTTCGTTTTGAATTGATCTGTTTAAAAGTAGATATTTCAATATAGATATATTGTTCAGGTCCGTGAATATGCTACCTTACGCTGAGTTTCGGTTTGAGACGCGCTCCAGTTCACAAGCCTGCACCTCCGGGACGTTATTATCTATAATTGTCAGCTATTTTACTTCTTTTTATTCAATCCAGACAATTGGTGTATTAAACATTGATTAAATTTAAGATACAATTAATTAAAAACGAAATTCCCTTTAAAGAAAGGCTTTGTGTCTTCTGTGTGAGGTCTCTGGAAGTTTTAAAGGAGTCTTGTCACTTCTGTAACATTGCTTTTTCCTCAAATGTGAACGCAAAAAATAAAATAAAATGAATATTTTATATTCTGTGCAGAGCCAACCCTTCTTCATCTGATTTGCTTAGTGTAATTCACAGAATTACAACTACAAAAATCGTTGCTTCCTAAAAGTTAAAGATTCTTTTTGTCACGCATGAATGTCTATTTCCCTAATATTAAATATAAAATGCATGTGCAGACTGATATTTTTTCTAATTTCCTTTCAGGGAGGAGCCTATGGAAAAACAGACGTTTCAATGCATTTTCTGAGAATGTATTTTTCAAGTTTTGACTTCAAATGTCATGTCCATAATGCTGGAATTCCTAAAATTTTAAATAATTTATCCTCAACTAGTTTTGTGGTGTGGGTCTACGTATTTTATAATGTTAACTTCAAATAATAGGCTACTAATAGTAATTTAAATATGTGGTAGCATTGGACTGGATTAGCCTACTTTTAAATAACAGTAACAAGTAATAAATAATGTATAACAGTTTGGAAGTAACCAGTGTTGTGCAAGTTACTTCCAAACTGTAATACATTATATTATATATTACTTGTTACTGTTATTTAAAAGTGATTCATACCTTACAATATTACTGTCTCAGAATTGTAATGCGTTAAATTACTCCTGTATAACGTTTGTGTTACTTTCACCAAAATAACTATCAGAAGTAGAACTTAACGTTGGGGCTGTAACGATATGCGATATGAAACCAAAATCGCCACACTCAGATCCACGAACCTGCAGAATCGCGACGTACCCCTCCCAACTGCAGCGTTATCCTTCCAGATCCAATGCTACCTTATCTTTAAATTAGGCTAGTATTATTTGAAGTTAACATTATAAAATACAGACCTACACCACAAAACTAGTTGAGGATGAATGATTTACAGAAATGATAAATGACATGACATTTGCAGTCAAACTTGAAATTTTAATTCTCAGAAAATGCATTTAATATACCAATATAGAAACGTCTGTTTATCAATAGGCTACTCCTTTAAAGGGTTAGTTCACCCAAAAATGAAAATTCTGTCAGTATTTACTCACCCTCATGTTGTTCTAAACCTCTATGTGTTTATTTGTTCTGCTGAACACAGAGAAAGATATTTGGAAGAATGTTTTAATCAAACAGATCTCAATCCCCATTGACTACCATAGTGTGTATTTTTTCCTACTATGGTCAATGGGGATTGAGATCTGTTTGATTAAAACATTCTTCCAAATATCTTCCTTTGTGTTCAGCAGAACAAATAAACACATAGAGGTTTGGAACAACATGAGGGTGAGTAAATACTGACAGAATTTTCATTTTTGGGTGAACTATCCCTTTAAAGGAGTCCAGACATAAGAAAATACCAGTCAACACGTGCGTTTTATATGTTAGGGAAATAGACACGCAAAAACGTTAAAGGCAATACATATTTTGTAATTCAGTGAATTACACTGCGCAAATTTGACGAAGAAGGGTTAGCTCTCCACAACATAAAATATTCATTTTTATTTTATTATTCCTGTTCGCATTTATGAGGGAAAAAATAATGTTACAGACGTGAGTTCTCTGTTATACGGACGCGAGCGCTCTGAAGCGGCACTAAAAGACTCCTATAAAACTTTCACAGACCTCAAACAGAAGACACAAAGCTTTTCTTTAAGGGAATTTCGTTTTTTATTAATTGTCTCTTAAATTTAACCAATGTTTAATACACCAATTGCCTGAATTTAATAAATAAGAAGTAAATATAGCAGACAAAGACTATTACAACACGGATAGGAGGCGCAGGCTTGTGAACTGGAGCGCCTCGTGAATCGAAACTCCAGGTGTATAAGTAGTCTTTAGCTTATTCACAGACCTGAAAAAAAATATATCTATATTGAAATGTCTAACTGTACACAGAACAATTCAAAACGAAAGAAAACAGAGTGCTCTGCTCTGTGCATCTCTCTGGCGCATTCAGCCTACTGCGAAGATCGTAAGTCAGTCAAGTTCTTTATTAATAAACAATTAAAATGTCTCCTTGCTATATTTGACATATTCATAATCATTGCTTTTTCATCAGCTTTTAGGTGCTTTAATTATGTTATATGAACGCGTCGCCACCGCACCAAAAACATGATTGCGATGAAAACATGAAAAATGCCACCTAAACCTAACTGTTTACTACGGAAAGAAAACAGAACGAATAGCCTAATGCACATATGTTGATCTCGTGAATGTGGTGAAGATCTTATCATTGCAATGCAGTCTCTCTAATCTCTAATGCAGCAGACACGAACGTTAGAGTTTCGTTGTGCAGTGTAACGTGCGTCATTGAATTCCTAACGAGTTTGGCAAGTGTCCAGATAAACTCGCGCTGTGATTGTTCTTTGATCGCTTTCTTTCTGTTTATAATTCACAATTTAAATAAGATTTGTTTTTCATCCTACTAAAAGAAACAATGTGAAGTTGATTTTTAATCACTGCCTGACTTACTGATACAAAAACAGTATTGAACGATTTTAAAGTGAAATATTACCTGTCTGAACTTGAACAACACATCAGCTCGATCCGGCCAGCTCTTGGCAAGTTGAGGAAAGTCGTCGGTGAAATGTTTGAAAATTTCCAGAGAAAATAAAATTAATCCATTGTTTCTTCAGAGGCTCGGTCGGACGAAGGAACTAAAAATAGCCTACTTTTGTGTTCACGTGTACATCCGAACATTGATCAACGACCATGCTTCGACTGCGCAGCTCCGTCTCGTCTGTCACTGAACATGGGCTGGCATATGCAAATATTTTGGGTCATACATATTAATGATCCTGACTTTTACGTCAGAGTCAGTATTATGTGGAGATTCGCCTGTTTTTCAGGGGTCTTTTACAAAAACGAAGTAAGAAGGAGAAAATAATGATGTTTCAGACTCACTGTATGTCCATGTACTGAACTCTTGTTATTTAACTATGCCAACATAAATTCAATTTCACATTATAGGGCACCTTTAACGAGTAAAATATTACTGAAAATCGATTAGTAATGCCTTACACTACTGCGTTACAGCAAAAAGTAATGTTACTATAATGTATTACTTTTGTAGCGCGTTACTCCCAACACTGCACAAGCACAACCCTGCTAATCAGTAATGCTGTTTTCCAGGTGCAGTGCGCAAATGTGCACTGACAACAACTGCAACAGAAGCAGAAATCTGGAGGCACGCAATTCGGTGGTTTGCACTTTCGGCGGACAGGAGCGGAGGGCGCCAGGAGAGACTGGCGCGTCAGCAGCAAGAGCAGCAATTACAGCTGCCACTGCACCCACACATTGATTTTGTTTAAGTGCATGTTTTTTTTTTTTTTTTTTTTTTTTTTTTGTTAATAGCCTGTGCGTTTTTTACCCGTTAATTAGGCTATATGTTTGTTGTTGACTGTGTTCTTTGTTTATTGTTGACTTTGTTCATTGTTGTTCATTTTTATAATTAAATCTATGAATTCGTGGTCATTAATTCTGTGTTTCTTAACTGTGTTCACTTTGTTTTAGTATGCGTTTTAATCATTAAAACGATTTAGTTCAGCCATAGCCTAAGCCTGCATTTCTCCAACTAGCCTTTATCAAGTCAAGTTAAGCTTTTTATTATAGCCATAGCCTTAGTGAAAAAAAAATTTCTGGACATTCCACAGACTGTGAAAATGTAGGACTATGTATAGCATATAGGTTACTCAATGCCGAAAATAAGGCAAAATGACAATCCAGTGGTGATTTAAGCAGAATCGTAACACATCCGGCACAGCTCCGGTAGGCGGAATCGCTTCACGCACCCGTTACGCATCTGTAACGGGATGATCAGGCGGTGCTGGATCGGCGCTGGCACATATCCGCAACAACCCCTAAAAACAGACCAGAAACGGCTTCGGCCCGATGTGCGTTTGGACTCAGGAACGAGTCCGTGAGGCGGAAGCGGGCCAGACCCGGCTTTATCGTTTTGCGATTGCGGCCCTGTTCCGTTACAGCGTCCAGTGGCTATCTGGGACGTCTCTTTGGTCGTGTGTCGGTAATTTTTCAAACTTCCCTCTGATGCTTCGCTGCTATCCTTCACACACACACCCTTCATGTGCACTCGCACTAACCCCCAGACCCACCCTCAAATACTTCTTGCCAGTGATTGGAACACTGTTTGTTAGGTTTCGTGGTCCGGGTAAGACATGATTGTTTTTGTTGCCGTTTGTGGAGCCTGTGGTGTCTACAAAGACCGCGTTTTTTTACAGTGTGTTTAGGGGACAGGCAGCTAGCCGATAGTGAGGAGACGTTTGATGTATGTGACAAAAAATGTTTTGGCCCAGCATCGCTTAGACAACCTTTAATAGTAAAGCAAGAGGAGCAGCAATTCTAATTCTTAAGAAAGTAGTTTTATACTTCCAAATGTGCTTGAGAATGTGTTGCGGATGAGCTCTTATTATACATTTCAAACCCAGTTGAAAACGTCCCAAAAATAGTGCAGAAGCTATCTGTTTTTTGGCAGTTTTTCAGGATACAAACTTAACCTTTCTAAAAGTGAATGTTTCCTTATTAACCCTCTTGCTTTGTAAATTAAGGCTACATCCCTCCCATTTCGCATCTCTCAATCTGGTTTTAAATATTTGGGAGTTCACATTACTCGTACTTTCTCACAAAGTACGCAAAGGTCCCAGGGAGGTTTAGCTCTTCCTAATCTAATGGGCTACTATTGGGCTGCAAATCTTCAAAAAATTATTTATTGGTATACTTCCCCTGAGGTTGATTGGTGTAAGGCGGAGGCAAATACTTGTATTTCTACATCGCTTTCTGCTCTAATAACAATGAAGCTACCATTTTCTCCCTCCAAATTTTCTTCAAGCCCAGAATATGGTCACAGTTTAGACAAAGGCATAAACTTAGAAACTCTTCTATGCTAAGCCCTCTCTGTAATAATCATTTGTTTCCTGCTGGTAAAATAGACTTCACGTATGCACAATGGCAGAGGGTAGGATTGGCCAGGTGTAGAGATTTTTACATAAACAACACTTTTGCTAGTTTTAATAACCTCTCAGAGAAATTCCAATTGTCACAGTCCAGCCTATTTCGTTACCTTCAAGTTCGACATTTTGTTCAATCTCAGAGCTCAACTTTTCCTGACTTGCCACCTACTTCACTATTGGATACAATTCTACTGTCTCCTACTTCTCTTAAAGGCCAAATTGCAACAATATATAGCACGGTTATGTCCTCAAATGATGTTTTAATTGACAGAAAAGGGGTGAGTGGGTAAAGGACATAGGTAGTGAAGTACCCGATGAAGTTTGGGACGAGGCTCTTAATAGAGTAAATGGATCAACCTCTTGTGCACGCCTCAGCCTAATACAGCTTAAAGTCCTCCACCGTGCTTACTACACCAAATGTAGACTTTCCAAAATATATCCAAATGTTGATGACTTGTGTGATAGATGCAAAGGTGAAAAGGTAGACTTTTTTCATATGTTTTGGGCTTGTCAAAAGCTAAATGACTATTGGACATTCATATTTAAAACATTAAACGAGGCCTTTAGCTTGGATATAAAACCTAGTGTTGAAGTTGCTATTTTTGGAGTACCAGAACATGGAGTATAATTGACAAATAAAGTAAAAAAATGTTATTGCTTTTGCCACCTTTTTAGCTAGAAGGAGAATATTATTGGAGTGGAAATCAACAAACCCACCTAAAGCCTCAATGTGGTTATGTGATCTAGTATCATATTTAAAATTAGAGAAAATTAAATATTTAATGAAAGGATCGGTTGAAAAATGTTATCAGACTTGGCAACCCATGATTACATATTTTGAGAAGATGAGGACTCTCCCACCTATTGATCAATGTTAGATGTGATTGTCAATTGGGGTATTGTTTTGTAGTTATGTACGGACCACGAACATGTCAGAATTTCATTATTGGCTACGTATGTTTATTTATTGTATGTAATTGTATGTAATGTTTGTATGTATTGTATGACTTGTATGTAATATATTGTTATTTATTTTGGCGGAATGGGTTATTGTGGAGGAAAAGCTTTAACTTTGATTGTATCTGCTTTATGTTAATGCTTTCAGTTAATGCTTTGAAAAAGTTGATAAATAAATGTAAAAAAAAAAAAAAAAAAAAAAAATTCTTTGTGAATACAGCCCCAGGTCCCTAAGTTAATAACTTATGATCATTGTGACAGAAGTGAATCAATCAAAAATAACTTTAGCTGGAAAATAACTTTATTCTACAGCTGCCATAAAGCCAAAACAATCTGTTACGTTAATTTCCTATTATCAATACCCGACTGAGCCTGGTTTATCCCAAGTTATTTTTCTCCATTCTGCCACCTGATTAGCCTAAGTTTTGGTTCCTGTTAGCAACTTCCTTAGTTAGCAACTTGACCATGACATCATGGTTTAGCTACTTCAGAATAAATGAATAACTTTTTTAAAACAAAATTCTACCGAAAAAAAGAAAATCATTTACACCTAGGATGCCATGCGCAAGTAAATAAATGATGGGGTAATTTACATTTTTTGGTGAACTATCCCTTTTGGTCACACTAGTTAATCAAGGGGTAATAGTGTATCAGTCTTTCCAGATTCAGATGAGACCAGTCTACATTTTTATGACTGACTTTAAAAAAATATGACCAGTGTTATGACTGACTTTAAAAAGATATGACCAGTGTAGAAAAAAACTAAGGACTAAGTTTAAGACTAGTCTATGAAGTTTATGCAACTGGCCACAGAACTTAGACTAGGAGACCAGCCAAGACCAGTAACCAGTAACTTTGTTTTTGTTAGAAAAACAAAGTTTACAAAATTACTTTTTAGACTGTGGAAGATACATCAGCCTTAAAAAGGTCTTAGCTATATAGTCATTCAAAAGTTTTAGGTTGGTAATAAATAAAAAAAAAGTTCCCCAAAAAATTATAATTTAGTGTATGTCTCCTGCTCCAGTGGGTTGCATTTATTTTGTCAAAATACAGAAAAAATGATAATATTATGAAACATGACAACTTAAACAAACTGTTTTCTATGATATTTTAAATGCAATTTATTCACGCAAGGACACAATTGAATTTTCAGGATCATTATCATTTTCAATGTAACATGATCCTTCAAAATCATTCTAATATTGGTCCTCAAGAAACATATCTTATTATTATCAATGTTGAAAACAGTTCAACAAACTACCAAATATTTGATTTTTTTTTAAATGAACAGCAAGTTAAAAATAATAGCATTTGAAATAGAAGTGATAGCAAAGATTTTTTTCTACATTGTTGCAAAAAAATAAATAAATAAAAAAATCTATCAATTTAATGTATCCTTGCCGTTTATTCTGTTAATCTGTAAATCTATTTAAAATCTTTTAATATGAAATATATGAACTACTAGAAACAAGCATCTCTCTCCATTTTCTATATGCCAGAGTTGAATCTCAGTTGTGGCCCATTCTGGCCATCAATGCGGATGGCGATACTAGCTGATTTAGATCCAGATGTAAAGAAGGAATGCCTTGTTTGTTGTTGACCGAGAAACTGGCTGCAGCAATTCTATAATGTGGGTTTGCTTGCAATAATTCATGAATGCATCAATAAGCAAGAAACAATAGCAAAAATAATCTAATTTCCATGCTTACTTAAAAAAAAAAAAATCTAATTTCAAATATGCAAATGCAAACTATCCTTTATTTCTATCTAAGCCCTACAAAACATGCCCACACATTTACTGTCTACTAAAGAAAACAGCACAATATGCATTTGTCTGTGTAATTAAATAGGAACAGAGTCCTCTTTTTCTAGAGTTCATAGAAGATTCGAAGTTACCCTTTGCTGAATTCCTGGATCACAAAAAATTAGCTTGGATCTATTCTGAACATTCCTGCATTCTTGTGCAATGACTGTCCCATAAAACATACGTTGAGATTTGCAGAATCAGTTTTCCTTTGATAAAACAAAGTTCAATATAAAAGGCTATGGTTCTCTGCAAAGAAGATGACATATGCCTATTTCTGGTTTCCATCGAATAATATCCTTGTATTTTTCTTTGAAAAAATACTGCTCTGAGGGCAATATTCACTATATATATATATATATATACAGAAATATGCTCTGGGTTATCAGATATGCTGAATACAGGGGGGGAAAAAAACCCATAATATTTCCAGAGGAAGGAGGTTAAGTAAGATGAGCAAATCAGAGGCAGCCTGTTCCCTAAAGCACTCTAGCTTCAGTGTCAGATTTATTAATAAAATTACACTCAAAACCTTCTACAGACCACTCCTGAGGTCCAAGCCTTGGGTCATTCTATTGCGCTTAGAGTAGAGCAGTGAGAACAGTTGTCAGCAGAGCATCAGTCTGAGAAAGAGGCCAGAATAGAGTGCTTGTATTAGTTGGCTTTGGCTCGAAGCTGGGCTCTTTTTCCAGTGACAGCCTGGAATCCAGTCTTGATGCTGGCTACAGAGCAACGTGAGTGACAGGTTTCACACTGCAAGAAGTAGAGACGCGTGTCCTTCTGTAAAATTGTATCCGGTGAGCGGCAGGTATGACAAGTCACATATTCCTCTGTGAAACAGAGAAAAGAGAAAATATCTTGTCAAAAAAACATTGGGTATTAATTCAGGCATGTGATTGGCTAAGGACAAAAAAGCAGGAAAATATAGACGCTTTCATCAGACGCGTTGCCATGGTGATGAGCTGGCCCAAAGTTAACTTCCGTTCTGTTCGTTTATTAGTGTTTACTGGATAATATGGCATTGACTACAAATGCAGTGAAAGTTAAGGTGATGAGTAGGTTGTTGAGCTGTGGACGTGCAACCTGACCTAGGGAGCAAACGCAATTTTTAAAAATAAAAATGTCAAGGTTTCCTATGAGGGAGACGGCGGTATTAAAATAGCCTAGCTATGTTTATGTAAGTGTTTCCCATACATTTATTAGTGGCAGCCCACCACATTATCAGCACTGACCGTCACATATTGATTTCCGTGTTTTTACCAGTTTAAGA